TTCACTGGGCTGCCTCTGGGCCCTCGGGCCACATGTTTGACGTAAATAAACTTTATTGATTACAATTTCACGCTTTGCTGTGTGGTTAAACAGTGAGTGACATCACTGTGTGCCGCATCGTGCTGGACCTTTTACGTCTTTATCTTCTCGTTGCACCTTGTGAGTCACTGAAGTTGTGCCAGAAATGCTGCGTTTCTATGGTAACACAGCATTACATCATTGAATTGTCCCGTCGCTGTCTGACAGTAAAATTACACAAAAACCAACGATTCAAACACGACGCAGAGGGAGAACATGATCACTGGAAGGTTTTTAGTGTCCAAACACTAGTCCTAACAGGCAGGTGGAGTAAGGCTGTTAGTTGGTGGAAGTAGCGCCCACGAGGTGCTCACCTGTAGATCTTTGAAGGTGGAGATCCTTGAGTTTATCTTCAGATATTCCAGGCAGGTGGAGATCAGCTCAGAGACGGACCGTGACTGTGCAGAACCTGCAGTACGCTCCTTTAAACATGAGACTGACTCGTCAATATAATTGATCTTTATTGATTTCCAATAAATCTTTGAATCAAAGTGAAAGATTTAAGTGTCCAGACAGTGTTTAACAAACACACCATGTAAATCAGACACAGCTGATGGACTACAACTCCCAGCGGATGGACTACAACTCCCAGCTGCCTCAGCAGAAAAAGCTCAAAGATGAGGCCGACACTGGATGAAAATGCAGAGTCAGTTTCTGCCCTTCAGGACTTTCCTATCAATAAAGCAAACTTGGTTTTCTCAGATTTCTGACACGTTACCAGGAAAACACAAACATTCAGTTTTTCCTTCTTAAAGGACGAGAACGAGCTGAAGATCTCCGAGAGTTACAATCAGGAGGACTCCATCATCGATGGAAAAAGAAGCAAACTAAACTATTTGCTTATTTTCCTTCTATGTTAGTGAGTAAACCTTTAAATAAGAGAAGAAACGTCACCATTAAAGCCTTTTTCTCACATGTATAAAAATATTTTAGTGCTTCAGTTTTGACAGACGTCCGTCACAGGATACAGTTTACAGCGTTTCCTCGCCTTCACTCCTCGTCCTGCTTCGGCTCTTCAAACTCCGTCTTTGTCAGTTCAGCTCCGGGTTTTGAGTCTCTGACATTGGATGTTGTCGGCGCCGAGTTTGGATCTGCTGCCGGTTCTTTGGGCTCCGCGTCAAACGTCAGGCTGTTCAATTCAGCCGTAATGTCGACCTCTGGCACCGGCGGCTCCTTCTGAGGAAGCAGGAAGTCCAGAGGCTCGAGGACTGCGGCGAGGTCGATGGAGCCCAGATGGCCGTACTTATGCAGCTGGGTGGGAGGAAGACCTGTGGAGAGACAACCGATTTGATTCAGACCAAACT